TTACTCATTCAAAGTATTGATATTTAAAGCCAAGTCTTATTTCATTGTTTTTCAAATTAGTTATTGCTAGTATGTAGGAAATAACTCATTATTTTGTTTATATATTGACTACATTGTTACTTTGATAACTATTTTATTAACCTTAATAGTTTCCCAGATGATTTATTTTGTATTCTGGGTATAAAATTGTAATTTCTGAAAGTAATAACAAGTTTGTATCCTGAGTTCTAATATTTATATTGTTTATTTCTGTTTATGCTTTAATATATTGGCTGGAACTTACAGAAATAAGTTAAAATGATGGTGGTAAAAAGTTTTGTTTTGCTTTTAATGATGATGGAATGTCCCAATCATTCACACATAAGTTGATGACTCTGAAAGTAAGATTTTTAACATATTAAACTTAAGAAAGACCCATTCCAATCCTATTTTAAAGGCATTTTTAAAAAATATTTAGAAGTTTTAAAATTTTATCAAATCACTTTTTGGTACCTTTGAAATTCAGATACATATTTTCTGACCAATTGATATGTCCTGTTAAATTAGTCATTCCATGATTTTAAATTGTCTTTGGGATAAAATTTTCTTTGATATGGTATATTATTCTTCTGAAATAATGCTGAATTATATTTCCTATATTTTATACAGTATTTTAAAATATTTATGGCCATAAATAAGATTTGTCTTTTACTACTTTATAATGCACTTTCCTATTTTATATTTGAAGATGTAACCCAGAGATAGTGTAAAATCAGCACAAAAATACTTAGACTGGTAATTAATCAGTTCATGATTGATGAGTCAAGAAAACTAATGCATTTCAGATTTTCATCAGTAAGGATCACCATTGAACTACATGAACTTGGGCAAATCTTTGTTTCTGGGGCTCATCTAGATAAACAAGTTTAGACTAAATGAACTCCAAGGTCACTCCATATCTAGCATTCTGCCAACTTGTATTCATAAAGAAGTCCCATAGCTTTATACTAATAAGCAAAACTGAATAAATAAGTTAAAGGGCTTATTAATTCTGTGTAAGGTAGCAATAAACCATATCCTTAGGACCCTGACAGATTTAGACCTGAGTTTAAAAAACAAAAACAAAAACTCAGTAGTTCATTGTTTACCTACTTGGTTCATGAGCAGTTGGAAATGAAAAATATTGACCCTATTATTTATCTTAAATTGCATTTGAAGACTGAACCAACCATCCTTCACTGTTTTGTTCAGCTCGCCTGAAACATTGGATCTAAAGAGCACCAGATTTGGGGGGGGGGGTATAGGGAGCCCTGGATCTGTGTCCCTCTTCAGCCATTTACTAGCTTTGTTATCTTAATGCAGTCATTTAACCCCTTCGGGCATCAGTTTTCTTATTTGTAAGAGGAGAGAATTTAATTAATCTTTAGGCTTTCGAGTTCTATGGTATTAGAAGGCATAAATAAATAATTCCTTAATAAAACAACTGTAATTTATATAGTCATCTGAGGTTTACTTTTACAAATATTGATCTCAATTGATCCTCTTAATGTGAGACAATTAGGCAAAGTATTCATGACCTTATTTCAGACTTGGGTCTAGACTCTAGACATCAGAGAATTTGGTAGCTTGTCCAATGTGCTTAGTAAGTGGCAGAGCCCCAGGTGGGGCCCAGGACTTCTGATTCTTCAGCTGTGTTTTTTTCTTAATATGATGCATTGTTTTTCATTAAATCCTGTAATCACTGTTTATACTTTTCAAACATTCTGTTACATTTTTCAGGTCTTTAAGTTATGAGGACTAACTATCCCTGTTCCTTTGGAGCTCAGCCTTGAAACTCTCTTTATTTATTATTTTAAATAATGTAACATATTAACACTTTGTTCATGTAGATGTTTAAATGATTTTTTTAAAAGTACTCCATCTAACATTTATCCCTTCTTTTCCTGATTCTCTTTCAGATAGCAGTTCTGTGGATGAAAAGGTTTTAAATCATACTTTTTCTTCCCTCCTGAGGGATCTTGTCTTTTGTACATGTTTGTTTGTGATATATTAGACCTGTTTTGGTTCTTCTGTTTTAGTTGTGAAATGTGCATGTTATCCCAGCTTTCCATTCTTTGGTTGTCCTTTAAGTGTGCCCCCAATATGTTGCATTTATGAAGAGGTTACACCTTGCCAGCTGCGCTTACTTTAGCTTACACTTGCCAACCTAGGGGTCTGCTACGGTCAAACACAGCATCTGTTCTTAAGTCTGGCTAATCATGACCTTCCTGACTGATTCATGATCTTCACTGCACATATCAAGTTTTAAAGGGCAAATAGTATTTGGAATATGATATCTATTTCCTGGATTCTGCCAATGCTTTTGTTTAAATGCTGACAGCTGATTTCAAAACCTCCACTCACAAAAGCACATTAGCTTTGACTTGGAGCTGACCCTGCTTAGCATTTGTCATACTAGGTGTTACGTGTGTAGTGCAGTTGACCCATGTCCCAAATTCACATCCATACAGATGTAGTATGCTAAAAGCCTATTTGTTTTGTTTTGTTTTTCTCATTCTTTATTTAAGGCTCGAATAATAAGGGGCAATGATTTGGATGCTTCCAAATTCTCCGCACTCCAGGTATTTGGTGGGTAAGTACGTTCATAACCTTTGTAATTCATTTCTTTCATCGATGGTGTTTGTCTGGGATCTCAACATATATATTTTGAGTGCAGGATGTTGCATGTTGGTACAACCAGTTAGCCTCACTGTTACTTTCTTTTTACACAGTAAAGTAGCTTTTACAGTGTTTTCTTAATAAAAGAGACACATGCTCATGACAAAATATACAGTAATGCAAATATATGTGTGTATGTATGATTTTATATATACATATAATTAAATTAATTATATAATTAATATATACATATAATTACATATATACATATATAGAAAGAAGAAAGTCAAAATCACCTAACTTATTTAGCCTTTATTATTATTCCACATACAAATACAACCACAGAAATTTACATAAATAAATTCATATAATACAATTAATGCTATCTTTTGACCTGCTTGTTTGAACTTAGTAATGTGTGCATGAACATGTTTCCATGTCAAAAACTCAATAAATATAATTTAACCATTATTTTTCACGGTTGTTTAGTACTGTATTTAATGGATATATCAAAATATTAAAAATTTAATCACAAAAATAGTGTATGAATTTCATTCTTCATGTAAAATACTCAAAGAAGAAGAATCCTCTTTAATGCCCACAGTTACACACTAGTATCAGTTTGGCATGAATGTTCATAGGTCCATTTTGTGTGCTTACATAGATATCAATATTCATATAAAATAAGTAGTTTTGTATTGTGATCTCTGTGTATTTTACACATACACATATTAAACATAAATTAGGCCATTCTACATGTAAATAAATAAGCACTAATTTAATGATGGCTTTATACCAGGTATTGTTACAATTGTTTTGTATGTAATGAATCATTTGATCCTTACAACAGACTTGTAAGGTAAGTACTGTTTTGACCCTCATTTTAAAATGAGGAAACCAACCCACAAAGCACTTGGAAAACTTTTCCTTAATACAGCTAGAAAGTGGCACAGTCAGTATTCAAGCCCAGTTAGTCTAATTCCAGAGTCAGTGATCTTAATCACAGTGCCATATTACATCTGCAACTTGCTGGTTTCTTTCATTTTTTTCCCATTTAACAACATGCCTTGCAAAACCTTCCACTTTGTTATTTCTAAATGATGCAAATATTTAAAAACATTTATGCGATATTTATTTGTTCACTCTTCAATTAGTGGATTTTCCTGGTGTCATTATTGTAAATGACACTGTAGTAAACGATATACTTAAATTTTTGAAGTGTAAATTTGTGGACCAAAGCTTATACACAATTTATATACATATATATATATGTATATGTATATGTATGTATATATATGTATGTATATATGTACGTACACACACACTAACACATAGATATGTATTAGACATTTTATAAGTGTTGAAATTTTAATGCATTTTTGTACAGTATAAATAGAAGCAAAATTTAGATTCATGTTTTAGTTTTTTTGTTCAGGCAAAAAGTTTCAGTTTTATTTATAATACTCTTATTTTTAAAAAATAAAGCATTTTAAAAATACATCCACATATTCCTTATTTTAAATAAAACATCTATAAGATTTAAAGTTTCAAATTTAAAGCTCCTGCAAAATAACATATATATATCATTTTGATTTTGATTTTCCCAAATAAAAGTGATTAAGATGTTATTTCTTTTGTGTCTATAACATCAGTGTCCTTAAAATAAATATTTGAAGAAATACTCACATTCCTATTCTAATGTCACAATGATTTAAATAAGTTATAGAAACAAGCTATAGTAAAAGATCACTACAAGTTACCATAGATATTCAGGTAATATAGACTTCTCTCTCTCCACTACCCCACACGTACTGTGTCTTTAAGTTTACTAAAAATGATAACTTAACAGATTGAATAAAATGGTTACCTTAGAAAATAATTAAGTTGAGGGCCGACCCTGTGGCTCACTCAGGAGAGTGCGGCGCTGGGAGCGCCAAGGCCGCGGGTTTGGATCCTATATAGGGATGGCCGGTGTGCTCACTGGCTGAG